ACGTGCTTGCGACGCTGGGCAACAGTGATTTTTCTTTGAATTGATTTTTAAAGCAAATAGCCAAAATAGGGGGCATATAGTGCTTTCTGTATTCAATTATATCGTTATCCCTCTTACCAAATAATAGTCATGTGGACGTTGTTTAAGAGTAAGAATTCAATGACAGAACGACGACGCAATTCCGAGCACGGTGATGGTCTTCGACAGGAGCAATGAGAGCTTGTCTGCCTTATCCATGACTGGAGCCGGATTTCATTGATAATTAAAGTGGTCAGAGTTAAAGGCTTATATAAATGAGGAGAATCCCGCAATTATGGAGGCCTGAAGCGTTGAAGCAAAACCCCTTCAGGATACGGAACAAGGATTGCATACTGCTCGATGGTTTGAGGTGTCTTCTTGGTGAAAGTTTTGTAGTAGAGTGGTGGAAGCAAAAAGAAGAGTCGATTGCCTTTCTGACCCAGTTTTGCCAAATCATCTGCCGCCCCGCTCTTGATGTCATGCGTTTTCCCCAAGTCATCTGGAATCCACCGAACTGCGGCATCCACGCATCAATAGCAGTATAGTTCGATGTCCGAGGCACGTATAGCTGATTGGCATGTTGGCCGACTTCCACCCGCTCCGCTATTTGCCGAAGCTGCGATGACCGTGGGATATAATTTTTTTTCGTCTTCATTAACTGGGTTGCCTCGATTGCGTTTATTCGTGTCGCGCTTTCGCATGTCAGCGCCAGACAACAGCTTTCGATACACGAAATTCCCACCCTGCTCTAACAGATCCATGGAGTAAGGCTCAAAGACATAACCGCATAGCGATTGTGCTAGTGGGTTTCCATCGCACGAACAAAGAAGGCCTTGCACTTTCGCGCGATCCGATCGCCACTTTGTTCGAGCAATCACTTTTATTGCCAATTCTGATGCATAGGCAACTTCGCACTTTCGATACGGTTCTTGGCTACGCATGTGAATCAAAGTCTTCAAGTTGACGTCAGAGCAGATGGACACCAACGTAATGCAATCATCGAGAGAACAACTGTTGCACGCGGACATCAACAAAGTTTGTGGGTCCATTCCAATGTCTTGCAACACCACGCGAGGCGCACCATCGAGACACTCAAATTGATTCTGCCACGTAGCTCCAGCAAATGGATACAAGGGAGCAATTGTCCCCAGTTCGTCTTTTGACCACAGTGGCACGTAGAAAACATCTGGAGTAGAAAAAAGTTTTTTAAACTCACCAATGCAGTCCCGCCGCGGTGTGCTTGCGAGAAAAACTGAACAATGCCGGTAGGGAAGTGCAGGAATACTAGTTGGGTCCAGCGAATCAACAAGGCACCACAAATCAGTTGACCAGAACTGTCGGTTAGATTTGTCCGGGAGTACCATGTAGGTGAACATCGTCGTTCCATCAAAGTAGAAGCTCCCCTCGCTGTCAAATAGCAGCACTCGCTTCCTATCTTTGATCAATCTCCACATAACATTGTAGATAAACACCGACTTGCCAGTCCCAAGCGTGGCCGTGACGACAACATACTTGACCCTGTTCCAATCTGGATTCGGTCTCACCGAGACATAGAACCTCTGTACAGAGGCGACGGCGACGCCGAATGCTGGCTACAAGACGCCGGGCGTCGACCCTGATTCATGGTGTGTCTACCGTAGACGATGGCGTACAGTTATGCACCCTCGTCAAGGGTGGTCTGCGTGACAACGCGTCAGCCAAAGCAGTCTGCTTCCCCGGCTTATACTTCACCTCGAAATATATTCTGCAAAGAAGGATAGCCATCTAGCCATCCTTTGCGAGAGGTGGGGCGACTGAGTCGCAG